TAGGAGAATGGTTTAAGTTAACTGCTGTTGTTGCTATGTCAGGTGGCTTCCTATTTATGGGGAGTCTGTGAATTAGTGACTTCAAAAAGATCATGCAATTAAAATTCCTGATCAGGTCTTGCAAATGAAAGGTCTTAACTTTCTTTACTGATTTGCTATCTCAGATTCAGCCCCCCCCCCGCCAACAAAGCAAAGCATGCTGCTTATATACTGCCCCATAGTGCTTCAAGCACTCTCTGGGCGGTTTACAAGTTAATTATGCAGGCTACACATTGCCAACTCCTGCTGCCTTCCACTTTTCCTAACATGTCTGATATTTTCCAGTGAAGCTTGTCTTCTCATGCTAGGTCCAAGTACCATAGATTCAGTTTAGTCATTTTCACTACTAGAGAGAGTTCAGGCTTTGATCTAGTACCCATTTATTTGTCATATTAACTAGGGTTAGTAAATGTTAACCCATGATTAGTATCAGAGAAGGCAAGAAAGTGTGTTTACTGGTTGTTGTGGGTTTTTCGGGCTCTTTGGCTGTGTTCTGAAGGTTGTTCTTCCTGACGTTTCGCCAGTCTTTTTCTCTCTTGCTATGCACTCCCGCCGAGCTGGTAGTTGTCAGTAGACCCTCTGCAAGGAAAACTGCTGTCGAGAACAGATTTTGTCCTGCCTGGAAATTGGCTGCTGTTGCTTGGCTCCCAGCTCTACCAGCCTTTGCCTTGTTACCTTCCTAGGCATGATTCATAGCCAATACTGTGAGACACCCCCACTCCATCTGCAAGGAAAACTGCGGTCGAGAACAGATTCTGTCCTGCCTGGAAATTGGCTGCTGTTGCTTGGCTCCCAGCTCTACCAGCCTTTGCCTTGTTACCTTCCATGATTCATAGCCAATAAGGTGCTACTGTGAGACACCCCCACTCCCTGAGAGAACTGGGTGTTTGTGCTGTGTGTACCAAAGGCATCCTGAAGCGTGGTTGCAGCAGGTTGGCCTTAGTTGCTGCTTTTTCTTGGGTAATCAGGAGCAGTTTGCAGAGAGTATATGCTTATAATAATACCCCTTCGTACCATCAGTGCTGTATGTGACACTTGGGTAATCAGGAGCAGTTTGCAGAGATTATATGCTTATAATAATACCCCTTTTTCAGTCTTTGTTTTAGAAAACGCTCACTGCCACTTAATGGCTTTTCCAAAGTTTTTGCATGTATGGGATCTAAGGGCAGGTTGGGACCCCAGATAGGTTTTCTGCATCTGTGTTGAATGCAAAAGGTGTGTTGTTGCAGCAGGTTCACCCAAGTGCCATTTGCAGGGGCCACACAAAACCCAAGGAAGTGTGGAGTCAGGCAGGCTCATTAACATGGAAGGCTCCATGTGGTATCACATACGCCATAAGCTTTCTTTTTTATTTACTGTATATCAGATCTTGACATTTCCAGGCAATGTTCCATCTCCATCTTCTGTAGCCATATCACTTGGTAAAGGTCATCTCCTTTCACTTCAGATGCACATGGGCCAAAAACTGGCTTTCCTTGCAGGAAATAACCCTATATTTCTGCATGGAAAGAGCATACCAGGAAGGCTAGTACATCTGGATCATGGTTCTCTCCAGCTGCAACCAGCCAGCTATTGCTGCCAGCAACTTTCCTTAAAAAGGATGGGGGAGGGAACCAACGAAGCAGCCTCCATGTAAATGGTCTTGAGTCCTGTGGCAGAATGCCCAAGTCACTCCTGTCTATCATAGCCGAAGCTCAAGGGCAGGAGCCTATGAGAAGACAGGAGGGGTGGAATCAAAGAGACAGTTAGACGGAGGGAGGCAGTTAGAGAGGAGTTTTGGAGAGAGTTAGAGAGGAGAGAACTGGAAAGTTGGAGAGAATGGGAAGGAGATAAATGAAATAATGGAGAGTTAGAGAGAATGGGAAGGAGATACTGTAAATGGAATAATAAAGCTAAATAGATAATCAGAGAATATTAATGAGTTGCTTAATGTGAATAAGTAAATACAACACCCGAATAAGCAAACGTGTAATCAAATATAAGAAGTTTAATGACTGATCTTAAACAATAATAAAAGATCATCTGTGATTTAAAAACCATAAGATAAATAAACAAGTTATATTGGCAGCACGTGTCTGATGCAATTTGGGTGCAGTGTGGATGAGAGATCCACTGGTGGTAGCGGAAGAAAGAGTAAACGTATCCAGAGGGTGATCCTGCGTTTGGGAGTCCACTGGTGGTAGCGGAAGAAAGAGTAAAGGTATCCAGAGGGTGATCCTGTATTTGGGGAAACCAAACAGGGAACACTGGGTGGAACGTCAAAAGCCCCTACGGTAAACTAGCCTAACCTGATCCAAGTGCCATCTCAGGAGAACTGAGTAGGGGTGTGCAGCACCACACACTCAAAGCCAGCTTGTGATCTCAGAAAATGCTTATGAACAGGACAGGTGCTGTGAGCCCTGTAGGAGGTTAAACTGGGCCAGATAAATTAAAGTGAAAACAGATGTATCAGCATTTCATGTTCATGGGAGATCATTAAGAGTAAGAAAGCAACAGTGTGTCACTACTTTCTCTAAGCTTGAGAAACGTTGTCTGTTTCATTAGCAAAGGCTGATGCAGTCCTCACCACAGCTTCCCTCTCAGGACATGGAGAGTTGCATACAGAGACCATCTTATGAAGGCTTACTGGGAAAAACATGCCACTCTGTGGTTGGTCATGGTAACAGAAACACATGACAGTACAGGATGTCAAAAGGACAGGGTATTGGTGCGCAACATAGACGTAGTCCCTGGTTTTAGAAAATGCTTTAGAAGACATGCAGGTCTTCTGGACTCTGTGAGAACTTTGGGGTACAGACAAGAAAATGCTTTAGAAGACATGCAGGTCTTTTGGACTGTGTGAGAACTTTGGGGTACAGACAAATTCAATTGGGAGGCATAAATAGATCCCTTCACTGAGAGAATGGCCACTTAAAAATGAAATTAATCAATAAAATAAATGTTGCTTTGCGATTCTTTTTGAAGTGATGTGGCACAGTGTCACTAAATGGTGAGGGAGAAATATCACATGGATTAGCTGTTGGCTTATGCAGTGCCTTGTGCTGCTGCCTTGTCCTTTTTTGCTGGTATTGCGGCAAGGACAAAGTGGATGAGTGGAGAGTGTGATTTCTGCCACAGGCTAGTGGTATGTGACAGCAACTTTATGGATGAGGCGGTGCCTTTTCCTATGCCCCAGCTGAGATTAATCCAATTCAGGGTGTCAGTAAACAGACAGACAATGTTATTGAGAGCAGTAAAGAAATTTGTATTACAGCAATATTGTAACAGGAGTAATACATACAGAATAGTCCTTTCTTCAGTCCTTTGGTCATACATGTTACAGCAATCAATGTCAGTCCATTTACCATATCATAAATCAGAGTCCTTCGTAAATTCTGCTTCTGTAAATCAATCCCGCAGAGTAACTCCTTCTCTCCATCCGACCCCCAAGAAACAGTATTCTGAGGCTGTCAGCTTTATTGCCCCTTGTGGCCAATTGGAGATTAGCTTCTGTAGCATTTTTCTTTAGCATTTTGTTTCCACAGCTGTATAATATCTAACTGGTAGCTTGTTGCTAGCACAGCTGCATCATTTTAATAAACTCTTTCTACAGATTTTCTTACAAACTTCCCTACAAACTTTGATCAACAATTCTCACAGGTATTTTCAAGATCTGACAGTATGTAGCTTATTGATTTTAAACAAATAAAGGGAAATAGCTAGTTTCATTCCTTTTAACAATGTGAAAATAAGAGTTAATTTTTTAAAGGGCTATAATAGGAACAAAGTTTGAGTTCCTGAAACTATAAATGAATTGTTTTTTAGAAGTAGCTTTCCAAATTCGAAACTATAAATGAATTGTTTTTTAGAAGTTGCTTTATGATTATATCCAAGCTTCTTATATCAATCTTTTATGCTTTATCAATCAATACCAAGGATTCAAGTTGAGTGTCATAAATCCTCTTACCATGTACTGGTAAAATACAGAATCCTACTTATTTTCACTCTTCCTCATTACTTGTATCTAGAGTTGGGCATGAACCATGCTTCTGTGTGGGAATGCCCACACAAGTGTTCAATGGGCACCATGAAGTTCCCTCCCCCATCTCCTTCATGCATTCGCCCACTCATGGGTGGCAGTGTGCTGCCCTGCCCCACCTCCCTGAGCAGCCAGACACATGCCAGCAGCAGCATGCGCTTCTCTCCTCCTGCTGTGGCCACCCACTCAGATGCAGTGCCACGAGCTTCCCTGCCCTGCCTCCTTGACTGAGTGGGCAGCTGCTAGACGAGGAGGAAGGTGGAAGTGTTCTGCCATCGTTGAGTGAGCAAATGTGCGAAGAAGCTGGAGGAGGGAAATGTTTTCTGCCTGCGGAACATCTGTGCAAGTCCTGTGCCAAACTGGGCTGAGCTGCCAAATTGTGGTTTATGCCCATCTCTATCCATATCTGATACTAAAGGTACAAGTTTTTGAAAGCTGTTCTTGACCCTAGTAGACAATATTATTTTTATCTCATTGAAGACTCTGATGGGTTGACTGTGTGTTGATCAATCTCATAAGTGCCAATTTGTGTAAAGCATCTGGCTTGGGGTTTTTTGGGCTGTAATCTAATAATCACACATATAGTAGTCTTATATTTTCCTTTCCATACTGGCTTTGCATAACTAACTTTTATGAATCTCTGCTGGAGTTATTAATCTTACAGTAAGCATAAAATAAAACCTGAAAGCTTATTGCTGTCCCTGAGGTGTAGGGTTTTGAGGAGAATGACCAGTCCTAAAATCACTCCATTGAAAAATCTGCTCTTCTGAGTTATTACTAAATTAAAGACATTAAGAGATATAATAATTCAGCCATGCATCTGCTCCACACTATTGATGAGAAGACAATTATTCTGTGCAGTAGCATGCTGCTTATAACAACTGTTTTAATCATTGGGTCTGTTCTAAATTGTGTTCAGTAAATAAATTCTGTTTTATTTCAGTTGATGTCCATCACTGTGCTAGGTGTTTCTGCCTGGATGCGGGACTACTTGAATAATGTACTGACTTTAACTGCAGAAACAAGGTAGGCATGTCATGGCTGAAAATAACCATTTCCCCCCACGTAGCTAGGCTTTAGAGAAGGGCAGCAAGAATAGTGAGAAGATGAAGCTGGTGTCTTCTCCATCTTTCCCCCATTAGAGTCCTAAGACATGTGAAAAGTATTTGTCTTTATTATAATATCTCCAAGTGCTGCAGATAACACTTTGTTAGAAGAGGGAATTCCTTCAGCACTGATTGCATGTATAAATGTCACAGCAGGAGCCTCCCTTCCTTGCCATAGTTTGCAAATATAGCTTTGGGCTCAATCCCACTGACAATAAAACCCACTCTTTTACTGGATTCTGCTTTTTTAAAAAAAATCTTTAGTGTAACTATGAGGTACATGCACACGTGGAGTACTGTCCGCGAAGAAAGAGTTTTTCTGCTCCTCTGCCAGAGGAGCATTTATTTTGTAGCAGATGTGCAATTGATTTTTTTGGAATTGATTCCACGTGTGTGAATGTCCCATCCCCTTTTAAAAAATCTGATACAGTGCTATGCCAGATAACAGGAATTAAAAAATAAATAAAAGCATTGTGCTTGCTGAGAAACCTGGTGTCAGTCTTGGCAGGCCCGGTCTACCAGGCTTTCCCAGGCAGTAGACTGGGCCTACCGGGGGAAGCCCTCCCCTGGTAGGCCTGGTGAACCCTGGGAAAGCCTGTGTCGGCTGGGGGAACCTCTGGAGGCCTTCCCCACCACCATGGAAGGCTTCTTGGAGGTCCCCAGCCACCGCTGATAATGCCTCCGAAGCACTATCGGCGGTGGGGGGGACCTCCAAGATTCTTCCCATGGTGGCAGAGAAGCCCTGGAAGGCATCTGGAGGTCCCCTGCTGCCGCAACTGCTGCTGGGAGCCGCCACACGCTGGGAATCCCGACCATGCTCGGTCTGAGCATGGCCGGGATTGTCCGGCACGGCTCGGCTCCCAGCAGCGGCAACGGTGGCAGGGGTCCGGATGCCTTCCAGGGCTTCTCCGCCACCATGGGAGGCATCTCAGAGGTATCTCCCACCACCAATATTGCCTCCAAAGCACTATCGGCGGTGAGAGGGACCACTGAGATGCCTCCCATGGAGGCCTAGAAGAACTGGAAGGCATCACG